AAAGGAAATTCAGTGTAACTGAAGTAAATTGCATACACCTGATGTCTATAATTCGTTAATCTAAATTTCAGCCTCTTAATTACGAAGACAGAAGTATATAACTTGAGAGTCTGAGACTCCATTGTGCTTTCCTATCTATTTAACTATTAGCAGGGTGTCAATTGTTGCGTCTACTTTCCGCAACTATTTCTCATATTTTATGGAACTAAACTAGGTGCTCAAGGCAATGCGAGAATCTGATTCAACTAAACCTGCAATATTTGCTATGTCAAATCCCACAATGAATGGTTTGTCTTATAGGATGCCATTATTTTCATCTTAGCTAGCTATTTACAGTTCAAACTAATTATCATTATTTTACCAGCTGAATGCACTGCTGCTGACGCTTTCAAGCATGCTGGAGAACACATAGTATTTGCAAGTGGAAGCCCTTTTGAAAACGTTGCTCTTGGTATCTTCTATGCTTTCGATATATATAATAGAATGTTTGAAAGCATTTGGCACCGTTATACCAAAACAATCAATGTGAAATCTTTCCTATGGGATTCCACTCTTACTTTTTAAATATATGTTTCTGACTCTGGCCCTATGTATTATTAGTTTAATATGATTATCTGCAAAACCGCTTCCTTGCAGGCAATGGAAAAATTGGACATGTAAATCAAGCAAATAACATGTACCTGTTTCCCGGGTCTGTATCTTCCCTCAGAACTGTTATTTTGAACTCGTAAGACTCTGATGAGTTTAACTGTTTGTTAACTGTCATTATTTTAATGCAGGATTGGGCTGGGAGCTCTTCTATCAGGTGCTCGTTTTATAACTGATGGAATGTTGCAAGCAGCTGCAGAATGGTATGAATCTTTATCTGGAAATCCAATATCATCTTTTTTTGTGAATACTACTTTTGGAAGATGATAACAATACCTAATCTGCTGCCAGAACTTTATGGCGTATTAAGAGAGTTTTTTATGATGTGTTGCTGAAACCACTTACAAATTGCTTATGAAAAAAATGATAATTTGGTTGAATCTGTTGCCGTATAGGCATCCAAAAATATAAACCTATTAGGATCCCAAATAGAATAACGTAACTAGAAAACTATATTGCAATCTCAAACAGAAACTACAATATCAATAGCCTTTCGAGAGGGCTATTTCTCTCCCAAGAACTCTCTCAAGTTCCTCACACAATACTATTCCCCAAAGATACTCTCCTTCTCCCTTACTACCCTTATGTATATCCATATTACCCCCAACTAATTACCATACTGCCCCTTCATACTAACAAACTAATAGGGTTCTCACAAAACCCTCTACATAGAATTCTATGTTTTACTAAATTGTTTAATGATAAATTAAATTGTGAAATTTATATTTTTTGAGTGCTTTAATATTCTGACATTGTTATCCTTTTGATTTATGTTTCATTATCTCGAAGTTTCTGATATGACGTTCTCATCTATGCAGCCTTGCTTCTTATATGACAGATGAAGAAGTTCAAAGTGGTATTTTGTACCCATCAATTGATAGGTAGGATTCACAGTTTTATTTGCTCTATCATATTGCCAAAATTTAATCAACTCAATCTGATGGCTTCATTGTTTAGACTGGTTAATTCATGAATTAAACTCCAAAATATCTTTATGCAAAATTGCAGCATTCGACAAATCACAGCAGAGGTCGGAGCTGCAGTCCTGCGAAGCGCTGTTTCGGAGAATTTGGCAGAAGGCCATGGCGATGTGGGGCCTAGAGAGCTCAGGCTAATGGCAGAAGTAAGTAAACTCAATTCATATTTTATGAAAACATACACAACAACATTGTCTTTCTTCCACTTTCATAAAATAAGGTACCTATTTCATAATCTAAATAGCTCTAGTCGTAAATAAATGTGTCTTAAGCATAGCTCGTTAAAACATCTACTCCTTTGTTTTAACTCTTTCTTTTGAAGTCCGAAAGTTCAAATCTCCACCCTCATATTTGTTGAACTAAAAAAACTGTGAAAATGATTCATATCCAAATATATAGCTTATTTAGAAACTGTTTATACAATAGTTTTATTTTTTTTTGGATAAAAAAATGTGTTTGAATTACTTTTCACATCTTTCAGTGTTCGAAGATAAATATTACTTCTTCGACCTATTTTTCTGAAAAAGATAAATTTTATTTCTTTCGACCATGACATAATTTTGTTCACGAGCCATTCAATAACAATTTTCTACAACAATTTTAAAAACAATTTATTTCCAGAACAGTTTTCCAAACCTTCTTGGAGTATGACTTGTGTAAAAATTTCTTTTATGAGCTGTAATTTTCTTGAGGTTTTTTTTTTTTTTGGAACTTTTGCAGGAGGAGACGATTGAATACATCAAACGCAATATGTGGTTTCCTATTTACAGCCCTCTTGTTCATGAAAAATAAGCATATTCTAAAGCTCTACCATTCTTATTTTCCCCAAGAACACCATTCTTCAGCCCTCTCTCTCTCTCTCTCTCTCTCTCTCTCTCATAGTTTGGGGCCAAACTATTGAACATAGGAAATAGGTCTCTCTATTCTGAAGAATGCTGTGCGGAAACGCCCTTGCTTGGATCCCCTTAGGCTTTATATATTCCCCTAATTGTTGTATTCAAGGTGGCAATTGTGGGATGGGAAGTTTAGAGTTTATATTTACATCCATCCACTCTTTTTATCATCTCTAAGATAAGTTCTCCTATGTCAAATTTTGATTTGATAACTAACTTCTTTCATTTCACTCGTCTTCTCCTTCTTACATGTTTGATAGATTTGGTGAAATCTCAGGTTAAAAGTACTTAGGTTTAAGCTTTATTTCAATTTGATTATTATGATTTTAGCAGCTTCGTTATGTTCTAAACGTTCTCGTTGTTACCAGATGTTTAATGGTTCTCTTATATGACATGTTTTCGGTAACGAGTTGTGATGGTTAAATTGAGTGGTTGTATTATAGTTTTGAGTAAAAACAAAAGGTGAAAAAAGGGGTGAGTTTTATTCCATATCTTCAATAATGAAGATCCGGTAATAATAGAGATGTTTTAAAAGATTTAATTAAACTATAAGGACTGTAATGTTCCAAATTGATACTATGCTCAAAGTTTTTTTAAATTTACTCTTGAGACGTTGGATCAAAAATATTATTCCAAAAATTATTATAAAGTCACTCTTCAAAGTTCAAAGCATTGAAATGGAGATTAGATTTCTCTTAATAATTATTTCCAAACTCTTTCTGAACCCCTTCTCTCTATTCCGACGAGGCTTCAGGCTTCTTACCCCTCGTGTATGATTTTTTAGATAAATTACAAACTTAGTTCAAGATTTTGTGGTCTATTTTTACTTCTTGAAACTATAGAAAATTTTAATTGTCTTTAAATCTGATAGTTTTTGCCATTGATCTTGTATTGACTAATATAAAAAGATTTTGGTCACAAATACTTTTCCCTTCGGTTCTTCTTTTTAATGCTCTCAATTCATTGCTCTAAAAGAATTCTTCAATATTGGAAAACGTCTTAAGATGCTGGTGACATATTCAAGTTGCAAGGAAGCACTTGTTGGATCTATATCCGGGTTGTTTCAATTCCATTTTGTGATGAGATGCTTTCTGTTTTAGCCATGAGTTTTCATCTGTAGCTAGAATGATGATCGTAGAGTACAATCGATTGGGGAGCCAACGACTTAAGCCCTACGGTTGTTCACGTCATAATTCTTGATTTTTTATGTATATATATATATATATATATATATTTTGCGGTATTCGATTGATTTCATGTGATGCAAATCACTTTCTAAAATTCTACCCTATTAAATAATAATATTGGTCAATCAATTATCAAGGCTACAATATTAGATTTTTTTTTTGTTGTTTTTGCTTTTCTTTTATAATTAATGTGTTTTTTATTTAAAATGTTTGGTAAATAATCAATAATTTATTGATCATAATTCGAAGCTTATCTTATTTTGTTTGGAAAAAAAATTGTGTTATTACCAAGTTTTCAATTAATTAATCAATTATCAATAATGATCGATCTAAAAAGGTGGAATACAATTGTGTTTTTTTCATTTCATTCATCGGGAAGTTAAAAGAATTTTAAAATAATAAGTATAATTATAATGTGAAATCAAATAATTAAAATAATTTTTCTTTATTGAAGTTGAAAATTTTAATATACGACCTTAAAATAAAAAGTAGGATAGAAAATCTTTATAATTTTAATTGAAGTGTAGTTAAAAAAGAAAAAATCCTGAATTAGGTAAAATAAACTTTTCAAAATGAGAATATAAAAAAATTGTTATATTAACACTAAGAAAATGTAACCTAAACTACATTAAAGTTGTGTATATGATAATGCAATTTATATGCACTAAAAAGATTAAATGAATAGAACGTAAAAAATTAAAAGATAAAAAGTTACGCATTCAATATGCATAAATTAATTATATCTAAATATTTGTATATACTTATATTTAATTGTAGAAAATGAAGGTTTTAGAATGCCAAAAATTTTATAATTTTTTTCACTCACTCAAATTATAATTTTGTGTGTTCAATTTATTCCCACAACAATTTGATGTTAATAAAATTTAGAAAATAATTAAGAAACTTAAACCTATATTTACTAATAATAAATAGGAAAATAGTTAAAAAAATGTGAACAATATAAAAAGTAAAACATTAACGAATTATAATACATGGATGAATTTAAAATTTAATAAGACATCATATTGATGGTTGATTTGATTTATATTTTATATTTTGGATATCATTTTTTTATTTTTAACTTATTTTATTAATAATACTTATCTTTTGATCTTATATTTCTACAATTATATTAATTATAAAAAGAATAAAATATATTTAACAAACTTATGATATTTTTATAAATTTAAAGTAGTTCATTGAATAAATTGTTTCTGTAATAAATTGTTTTATTAGGCGTTGAATATGGTATTGAACTGGTAAATAAAAAAGTTCCATCGATTCAGTAAAAATAAAATCTGTTCGATCTTCATCTTCATCCCCTGAATCGGAAAATCGTACTCGAAACAATTTTCTCGACAAAACAACTGTAAAGGGAAGAAAATTCCAAGCCAGTCGCTGTCCGCTGTAATCCAGTCTCTCTCTCTTTGGCGCTAATTAAATAGCAGATCTGAAGCGCACGCCATTGAAGTTTCAATCTTCTCTTTACGAGATTCCTCCGCATATTCTGCCACGGCAAGCTTCAGGTTCCGCCATTTGAGATCTGCTTCGACTTCAGTGGCAGAATCTTCAAGTTGAAGTATCTCTCTCATTGCTTTTCTCTATCACGTTGTATTGATTAATTTATTCAACTTCATTTCCCTCTATATGTACTGTTCCTTTTGTTCCTTATATGATGAGTCTGCAACTTACCGCAGTCTTGGATACTAGAGAATTGTAATGCTGACATTAGCGATTGAAGTTTTAGGAATTCTTACAGTTTTATAATATGTTTTGAAAATGGTTATTCAATCAAATTGTAATCGGGAATCTTGTTTCTGTTGGCAGAAGAACATATATCGAGTCTAATGGCTGTGAGGAGACCTGGAGTCATTGCTTTATTTGATGTTGATGGGACTCTAACAGCTCCTAGAAAGGTAAACAAAAAAAGTTCCGTGATGCTAGTTGGTTCATTGAATTATGAATCTTATTCAGTACATCATTGGTATTACATTTCTGTCATGTGGAGTATCTTTTTAAAGAAGGGTGAAATTTCAGGTTGCTACTCCAGAGATGTTGAAATTTATGGGGGAGCTCCGAATGGTACTTGATTTACTTACGTGAAAAGAAAACATTTATGTAGAACATTTTCCTTGTTTTATTTTTTGATTTTCTCATCCATTTTAAATACTACAGATTGTTACAGTTGGTGTTGTGGGAGGATCTGACCTTTCAAAGATTTCAGAACAGCTTGGAAACTCAGGTAAATTTTAATGGATTCTTTAATTTCATGAGCAAGTTACTTGGAACAACTAATTTATAATGTGGCTGACTTTCAAGCGGAACGTGTTCTGTTTTTGTTCCAATTTTTTTATATGCATCATATGTATCAATTTCCCTCATTAATCATGTTCCTTGACGATTATATACTAGATATGGTATTTGCTTCATTTAAAATAATTTAGAATATTGGTAATCTTCCTCCTCCTTGTTGTTTGCTCTTCCAAGTTTTTGTTTTTCACGATCCTTCCTTATATTAAGCTTGTACAGGGCATTAAATAGAGAATGTTTGTGATTGTTCTGTAATCTATTAATCCATTCCTGTTATGCAGTTATTCATGACTATGATTATGTGTTCTCTGAGAATGGACTTGTGGCACATAAAGATGGGAACCTCATTGGCACCCAGGTACTGGTTGCAACTAGATCTAGATTTATACAAATTGTTAGATGTCTAATGGGTGATGATAGCCATTAAATGTTATTCTAATGTTTAATATATGTGTCATGTGTGTATGAATTTGTGTTTTTTTTGGTATCAAGTAAATTCGAGAGCTGGAAAAATCCAGCATAAATTCGTCAATTTTCTCCCTTGTTTCAATGGGTATCTACTTTCCCATAAATACAGTCATGCCATTTGACTTCACGTTGCAACAAGAAAGATCTGTTGGCTTAACTACAATTTTGATCAGACAAACTCTGTGGTTAGGGGAAAGGGAATTAGTTAGGTAAATATTTATGATATATTCTATTTCTATATCAAGCGTTTCATTGATTTTCGAAGCTAACGTATACTCTGATTCTTTTCCTTTATTCCCTTCATGATAGTTCAATGATCTCAAAATAAACAAAGGAAACCGTGTTGTAGAAGAAGACGGATCAACAACATATGACCATATTTTCCTTTTAAGATTTATAATGCCTTGGATGCTTATCTACTTCCCTATCTTAAATTACAATTCTTTAAGCAGTAATATGAAATTATTTTATGTGCTTATGGTGGCTCGACCAACTTTCACTTGAATTGCTTTTAATATTTCCTCTTGTTATTTTCTGTTATAATTGATCTATATCTGCATGATAGATTGTTCCTTTCAATATGTGCAGAGCTTGAGATCACATCTTGGGGAAGAAAATCTCAAGGTAATAAAAGTCATCCTTTTTTCAGTGCCCCATTTATATAGAAACCGTTGTCAGGACTCAGGGTAACCAGCGCTTCCTATGACTGGGGACACAAGGAATGATCCCTTGCTGGTGGTCTGCATGTTATTTGAGGCCATTAGATTAGTGTCTGTATGAACAATTACATGTGCTCATATGTCATAACCGATCATTGATTGAACAAATTGTGCAATTTTGAGAGTATTGCATATAGAGTTGTATAATTGAATGCAATATTGCATACGCTACTCTGATAGCCCCCCAAAAAGGTTTTACCTAAGCTAGAAAGGGTAAAAGCAGGGTATATAGGGAAAATAGGAAGATAAAAGGAGCTGTGCATTGAAGAGGGAGAGCTAGTCCGAAGAAATCACTTTAGTAATCATGAGAGGCAGAGAGAGTGAGAAGAGTGGGTCAGCCGGATTATCGTTGAGGGGAATAAATGATTAGGAGGTAGCTGGCAACTAGATATTACAAGGGATTTGAGCTGCAAATTACATTGGTCAAAGTTTTCATTATTACTTTGTCTCACACAAATCATTTGCTTGTAACTATTCAATATACATACAAAAAATTAATCACATCTGAGTGCATGAACATAGATGAGTCGCAAAAACTTTGGATTTGTTTATACTACCTTATGACTGATTGTAATAAGAAATATTTCATAAATGTTGCATGCTATTGTATTCATGAAAAGTAACTTATAGAAGCCTTGATATTCCGAAATGACCTATTACCAAACAAATGCAGAATTTTATCAACTTTACACTTCATTATATTGCCGACTTGGATATCCCTATAAAAAGGTCAGTGAGCTGGAGCCTTGAAAATGTTTCTTGTATATCTGGTAGCAGATGATATATGTCAAATTATTTATCTCATTGCATCTCTAGGGGAACGTTTATAGAGTTCCGAAATGGGATGCTTAATGTCTCACCAATTGGGCGAAACTGCAGCCAAGAAGAAAGAGATGAATTTGAGAAGTATGATAAGGTGAAGAACTCTAGTCCCATTTATTGGAAAAGTCAGCTTCGGTGATTTCAATTTGCATTTTTATTCAGAGGACATGAGATGAGATAAATCTTGCAATCCACATTCAGGTTCAGAATATACGTCCAAAAATGGTTTCTATCCTCCGGGAGAAATTTTCCCATCTTAATTTGACATTCTCCATAGGAGGGCAGATAAGCTTTGATGTAAGTAGAGTTTAATTTTCAGCATTATCATCATAAAATAAATAAACAGCATGACTGAATCTATTTGGGTGGTGCTAATATTTCATTCAGGTCTTCCCTCAAGGTTGGGACAAGACATATTGCCTGAGGTACCTTGAAGATTTTAAAGAAATCCACTTCTTTGGCGATAAAACTTACAAGGTTATTCTTAGAAGTTCTGATTGGCTTTTCATTTGTTTGGTTGTTATCTCTTGTTTAGGGTCTACTGCCTGCCTGATTGCTTTCGAGTTCCTGTGCAAAATGTTATTCTATTAGTGCCCACTGAATGTGATAATTAGCCTCTAACTCAAACATAGAGAATCATAAAGCGAATAATTAAAGATGGGTTTGATAACCATTTTTACCGTTTTGTTTTTGGTTTTCTGGTTAAAAAAATTAAGCTTATAGACATTACTTTCTTCACTCATGTATTCCTTTGTTGTGTATATAGTTTTTATAAACATTTTCAAAACCTCACTCAAATTTTTAAAATGTAAAAAAATAGTTTTCAAAAACAATGAAATTTGGAAAAACTTACTAATGAAACTATGTAAAAACAAGCCTAATTTTTAAAAATAGAAAACCAAATACGAAATGGTTATCAAACGGGCTAGATTAGCTTTTGAACTTGAACCTCTATCGAGCAGGGAAGATAGTAAAAAACTAGGATTCCTTCCCAATCATAGCAAATTAAGCATGATTTTGGTATTTATACTGACATAATCTTGCTACATTTGTTTTCGGGCAGGGAGGAAATGATCATGAAATTTATGAATCTGAACGAACCGTGGGCCACAAAGGTCTTTTCCCTCCATCACTGTTAGTTATCTTCTTTTGTTCTTGATTACTGTGGTGTGTTCCTAAAGCAGATGTTTTGTTTTTGCTTTCGTTTTTGCAGTTACTAGCCCCGACGACACCGTGGAGCAATGTCGAGCCATATTTTTCTAAAAAAATCCAAGAGCCGAAGCATAAAATGTCCAATTTTATCTGTACGAATATGCCATTTGTGATTTTAAGCAAATTTTTAACTGTTCATGAAGAACTTTTGTAGCTTCTATTCATAATTTAGAAGATAAAGACATTATACAAGAACTTCGATAAATAAATCTTAATTCATGGATTGAACTTGGTTTCCTTGGATGAAATTGGACACCATATTTCTGCAACTTCTTTTGGTAATAATTCTCTCTGATTAACAAAGTTTGCGTTGCAGATATTGATATTTCAATAGAGATGACTGAATTCTGTATAGTTTCCCAAGAAGCTGAATTATAGTACACCAATCCCAGCTACGATTATAGGTATGTTTTCACTGCCAATCTTTTGCCTCTTGAATTTATTGAGAGAAAAAATAATTTCAAATAATATCAATAAAATTTTTGGTAACATGTCATGTCATAAGTGTTTAAGCATAGGAATTTGTTGATTTGTATAACTATGATATTTTCGATCGATGTGTCAAATTATGAAAAGCATATCGAGAACGTATATTATATTCCATGTGGAAAATGAAAATTTTATTTTATATAAAAAAAAATTGTTAGTAAACTTATGTTAATTCAGATCTTGTTTGGTCTATGTTTTCAAGTTGTACCATGGTAATGCGGATGAAGATTTTTTTACTTACAAATTGAATTGACCGATTTCCACCATGTTTAAGGTATTTTAACACACAAAATAACTGAAAAATTAATTGGTTTGGATATATATTTCTTTTTTGAAACAATAAGGGGGTATCGAAATCACAACGATGAAGTTTAATTACAATATTTTCATATGGTGTTCGATATGAAGTTTAATTACAATTTCTTTAACTTTCATTAAAATGCATAACAAAATTAAAAAAAAATTGAAGCTTTCAAACAAAACTAGCACCAGCTAATTAATTATACAACAAACTTTGACATAACTCAACCACTAATAGAGGTAGCTTCTCTTGGAAATAATTCTCTATGATTAACAAGTTTTACTTTGCATATATATATAGACACACATATTGAGGATATATACCTGAATATTTCAATGGAAAATGACAAAATTATTTATAGTAATTTGCTATAGAGTTTGAATCATATAACAGTGTTTTGAACTAGGATTATAGGGTTTCGATAATCTTCAATCTCTTGATTATTGTAAGAAAAAGAATGTCAAACAGTATGTCATCACTTATACAGACCAAGATTTTTCACGTCACATTTAGGGAAAATAGATCAAATAAGCATGCGTGTCAAAAGGAACACGGATTGCACCACGAGAATCAACTGTCTTGAAAAACCAAACCTTGTCTGCTTGATGTATCAAACCAAGGAAAAACTGCGTGGGATGGAGAGTGATTAGGAATTGAGTCGTTTCAGCTTCTCCATCACGACCAAGAATTATGCATTCTCCTTCCTGCACAATGTTAACCAACCAACTCATTTACTCATAAATAATATGTTCTTTTTTCTTTGCATAACGCTTCGTTTTAAGTTTTAAAACCTATTTTGATTCTCAAACTTTTAACGCTTATTTTAGCTTAATCTATAAACTTTCAAATGTTATATTTCAACCTCTCAAGTTTCAACAATTACGTCGTCCCTAATACATAAAAGCTTTACTTAAAAAATTCATTCGAGTTCGTGTCATTAATTGTTCATCATTTAATATAAAGTAAAAAATTATTTTGAAACTCAGACACCTACCTGATCAAACCCAGCTTTAAAACACATATCAAATTAATCAAATAAATGAATTAAAACACATGTCAATTACTGAACTAATTTTGTATCCAAAAGTTCAAGAAAAACAAAATATTTGAAACTGTTTTAGAAACACCAAAGTGAAATTTAAACCCAACTTTCTAAAATAGAGAAAAATATTTCTTACTAATGAATAAAAGTTCTTCAAATAAATTTATCAAATACTCTACAAAATCTAAAAATATTTGAAAGAAACAAAAAAAAATTACTCCAAGAAATCATTTCAACAATATATACCTCCTTGATAAGAACAATCTCCTCATTTGCAACAGAGAATTTGACTTGTGAAATCGTAAGTGTGATACGAACTGTAATACACAAATAACAAGTTCTATCAAATAATTAATTACACAAAAAAAAATTGTTCATCATCAAGTATTTAAATTATATGAAACACAAAAAGAAGAGTTTGTATTAATTACTTGGTTCATCTTGGTAGACAGAAAAATTGGTTATAATTTGTCTGAAATTTTCTAAATGAATAGAAAAAAATCTTCCATAGTCAATTTTGCGCACCACCTCCTCCTCTGTTGGAGGTGACAAATCCAATTCATGGCGCTTCTCAGGCTCATACTCTAAAAAACAAAAAGAAAGAAATTTCCAAGAATTAAAGAACTAATTTTGTGTGTGTTCTTGGAGCCAAAAGAAACATCATATTTCTCAAACATGTTCTTTAAATTCTCAGAATAAACAAAGAATATCAAAGAAAATTATATATATATGTTCTTACTTGAATTCTCAAATCTAAGGATCATGCGATTAATGTTTTCTAGGAGATGGATGGTCATTGAGGAGGAAGTCGAGCCATCCAAGAGAGCATTGTGGAAGGCGTGGAGGGAAATCTTTGAACCGTGAATCTGATCGATGGAGTAGGACGCGAAGAATCGACGCGGTTTCTTCAGCACCACGACGAAGCGGGAGGAACGGTGCGTGGCGATTATCGTGAACAGCAACGGGGAGAGATTGATGTCGGCGTCGTCGGCGATTTGAGTGAGGAGGGAGGTGGCGTTCAGAAAAGGAGCAATGTGATCAAGCCTGATCAAGATCATGGTGTTCTTGGAGAATATTGATGTGTGGAAATGGAGAGAAAAAAATGAAAAGAGGGACGAAATTTTTGTTTAAACAAGTCTCTCCCAATCGAAGTAACTTGTTTTATAGTGTTGGAGCTCTTTTGTTCTGGTACAGATTATATTAAATTTGGTATATTGGCTTCTTGAAATTATAATGGTATAACTCTATTGGTTTACTCAACTTTTCGGGTTGTGTTTTATTATTTACCATGGTTGTATAAAAGAGCAAATATTTGAGTATTAACCGACTAATACCTTGTATCTTACTAATCACGATTAAAATTTTGATGAGTAGAAGAATGAGTGCAAAAAAGAGAAATATTTAGTGGTGATCAGTTGGAAAAGTAATGAGTGGAATGATGGTCAATATCTAAATGTTGTAACATAAAAAGTTTGGGTCTCTAAACTTTTTAAAATTGTTGACTTTATTATTCAAAGGAGGCCGTGTTTAAGCATTTGGTGGCATAATCGTTCAACTAATGAATTGAACATTAATCTATACTTCTTAAAATATCTTGGTGCGGTAGAAGATGGAGTAGTATGTGAACTATCATTCCATATGAAAATTTGTGCCTCCGTATGTACTTCAAAAAATTGTCTCACTATTACAATTGTTTGTTTTAATCAAGGTGTTAATTAGCTTCTTTCGACATGTCTATATGTTCATAGATTTTTTTTTTATTACCTAGGAGTCGGATCTATATATTCATAGATTTGACATCAACACAAGGGGTGAAACAATATTTTCATAATATTATATAAACACTTAACAAATTAAAATATAAAAATATAAATAAAATATCACAGTATGGATATCGTCGGGAGGAAAAAAAATCGAAGCATATGTCAGGTGGACCAAGAGCGAAGGTCGATCACCAACTCCAAGGTACTGGCTTGCGGAGCTTGCGACCTATAACATAGAGCCTCATGTGAAGGAATGAGACCCTTAGCTTGTCTCACTTGAGCTAAGGGCCCAATGAATATTTAGGAGCGATTCAAGCAGAATAAATAGTTGTCGAGATTGTCTCCGTGATCTTTGCTGTAATTCTCGTGAAGATTCCACACAACTCCTATAAATACACCATCTCTTCATTCAATCAAGTACGCAATTCTATACGCAATTCTATCTGAAAACTGACTCAAAATTTTGAACTTTGAACTAACTTGAGCGTCGGAGTGCACTTTCTTTACTTGCAGGTCTTCTTGTTCAGCCTGCTCTGCTCAATCAACTCATTCAAATCTCGCATGACAGAAACATATATAATATTAGTACTAATAATTTTTATTTTTTATAAAATATTTATTTATTAATTTAAATATTTCCAACAAATCTTTATTTTTACAACTCTCTCCCTCTCGCAATTGAATTGGCTTGTTTTACGGTATTAGACCTCTCCCTCGCCCACAACCTTGTGAATTACTTATACTCTTTTGTTTTTGTACAAATTAAATTTGGTATATTTGATACTTGAAAGTTTAATGGTGGTTCTTCAACTTTTAGGGTGGTGTTGATTATCATAATTATTTACCATAGTCATAAAAAAAATTTAGAATAAAGAGTTGTTAAATATTTAGTGGTGATTAGGTGGAAGATCAGCGTTACGGTTGATATCTAAATATTATTCTATAAAAAAGTTGAGAAATCTTTAAACTTTTCTAGATGGTTTGACTTTATTATTTTAGGGGATAGAGTTTAGACATTTGGTGGTGTAATTGTTAGATTAACGGATTCAAGACACTCATCTATTAGAGACAAAATTAAAGATTTAAAAATTTATTAGAAATTTTTTCTAAGTACAAGGGTTCAAATAGACACGATTTATAAATTCAGGGAAGTATTTGGAAAATTTTAGAGTACATAGGACTAAATAAACACAATTTTTAAAGTTTAAGGTCCAACATATAATTTAACAACTTTAAAGATATCTATTTCATTCATTCAACTTTTAAAAATAATTATTTTCCTATTAATTGTTTTATTTTAATATAATAATAATAATTTGATAAAAAGTAACTTTTTTTTTTTTTATGAATGGTAAAATATAATTTAACATATCCGAATAGGTGTATTAATGAGCATGTATTAAAATTATATAATCTCTCCTTCTTCGAAAGATTTAATGATGTCTAATTATAGACAACACACAACTTTGCAACTTCTATATATTTTGACATTTTTTTAATATTACTAATTTTAAAATATTATAAGTTTTGAACTTATTTAGAAAATAATGCTGCAAAAAATTTTCTCATCACCAACTTACTTACGGCCACACTTACGGCCACGTTGCTTAAAAAAAACCCTCCTTTATTGTTTCACACGACCTATACTAATTTTAAATAGCTTATTCAATTTGACAAGACCGCTATAGACCCAAAGGTCTGAGGTTTAATTCCCAATACTTATATATATTTTTTTGTTAATAAACAAATAACATAGATTTTTTTTCAATTTTGAATGAATGTTACTTATTAAAATTTATATATGCTCTCCTAAAATAAATAATTACTATTTAAAAAATTATATATTCTTTATTTTAAGTAATACTTATTTTATTTTACTTAAAAAAAAAATTAAAATATAGATATTTTAAGAGAGAAAGGTTTTAATAAGTAATATTTATTTAAATTTAAATCATATAAACACAAATTACTATTAAAGTGGATTAATTATAGTTTTTTTTGAAAAAAAATAGGTTTCTAACATTAATTATTTTATTTCAAGAGATAAAAGAGATTTTATTAAGTAATACTTATTTATATTTGTTTAAAATGGAAAAAATTACAATATAGCATAGGAAAAAAATTACAATATAGATGATTGAGTACATTAATTATAGTTTTTAAAAAGAATTATTGTTTTTAGTACTAAAAAGTTATTGTTTTCTCAATAGTAATTATTTTATTTGAGGAGAAGAAATAAAATTTAATAAGTAACACTTTTTTAATTTAAACTTATTTAAAAGAAAAAAAATTAGAATACAACATTTATTTACTAAAAATTGAACATTGGACCTCTAAGTTACAAAGCAAAATCTCTAGCGCCCTACCGAATTCAATAAATTATTGAAAATTAAACCCTAGAACTTTTATAAATGAAAAAATTAAACCCTCGAACTTTCAATAGTAAAAATTAAATCCCCAAACTTTCAGATATGATAATTAAAATTGTACCCTCTAAATTACAATTAAACCCTAAAATTTTTTAAAATTGTATTTTTTTTACAATTCCGTCCATATTATGTATTGAAAATATTCTCATCTAATTTTGAATTCAATGAAGCAAAAAAGGGTGGAGTCACTCTTTTTCACATACACCGGGAGAAATGGTTACGATAGCAAACCCCTCCCTGGCCGGAGAGCCTCTAGGACAAGGGGGCGGCGGTCAACCATCCACTCTCGAGATTCATATTGATTAATCGATCTCCGCGTCCAGCCAGTTCACTAAGTAGACTCACTCTACCGAGGGGCAACAAAGGCTGGAACTATTCCTTTTTTTTTTGCTCTTCAATATCCGATTTTGCAGACAATTCTTATAAAGCCTTTTTCCTCGAGACTTGCCGAGAAATATGGGAAGAGTGTTGCTCAAATTGCTCTTAGGGACGTGGAAATCCGAGAGATTGCTCAAAGTTTTTAAGTTTAAGCTTACAAAAGAAGACATGAATAATTCTATCGGGGGAATTGACAGGAAATACCAAACGCCCGCCAAGTTTTGGGGCATAGATTTGTACGTATAGGTAATTAAGAAATCAAATTGAAATGGAAAATAATGTCCATTGTTCTGTTAAATCCCTCACAAGTTAATGAATGATGGAGCATATTCCCATTTGTGAACTACTGCTTGTCTGCAAAATCGAATATCCACGAACAAAAAAAATATTTTAATTTTAAAATTGTCAAATAGATACAAATTTTCAAAATTTTAGGGTTTAGATTTTACAATTTTTGAATTAGAGGGTGCAATTTTATCCTATGTGAAAGTTTAGGGGTTTAATTTTTACTATATAATTATAAATTTGAGGAAAAAAACTGATATCAAAATCTGAATAGTTGTACGCTATGGTTATATTGGAACCTTCTCAAGCACTCGGATGAAGAGTATGAATTATCCTCCTCATTGAACTGATTTCCACCGTATTTAAGGTATCTTAATACATAAATTAACTGAAAAAGTAATTTATTTGGATATATATATTCAAATATAAACTTCGTAAAATTCATTATCGTCGCAAGAAATTATAGCAATTATGCCCGCAAACTTAAGAAAATTACTGTCATAAAACCCTCTTTCACTATCATGAAACCACAACGTTAAGGTTTAATTTCAATAATTTGATAAGTTATGGAGGGTGTTTTACAAAATTAAAAGACTTTCTAAAGTTGGAAGATAAAGTTGTAATATATTTTTACCTCAGAATAAATTATACCATGTCACTTGTTTTAATTTTTCTTTTCCCTAATGTCTTCAAAAGTTTTAGTTTTACTATTAAATTTAATTAAAATGCATATCAAAATTAACAAAATTGAAACTTTTAAACAAAACTAGCACCAACTAAATTATACAACTACAAACTTTGACATAATTATAACCACTCTAATAGAGGAATAACACTGTGTATTTTGCAGCTTCTCTTGGAAATAATTCTGATCTATAATTAACAAGTTTAATTTGAATATATATATATATATATATATATATATATATATATATATATATAAAACTTGAATTCTTCAATGGAAATGGCAAAATTCTTTATAGTTTGCCAAATAGTTTGAATCATATTACACACAGTTTCGAACTAGGGATTATAGGTATATTTCGACTATCCTCGATAATCTTCAATCCTTTGATTATTGAGAGAAAAAGAATGTCAAATAGCCACTTTTACAGACTAAGATTTTCACGTCATATCAGACTATTAAAATAGACCATATAAGAATGCGTGTCAAAAGGGACACGGATTACACCACGAGAATCAATTGTCCTGAAAAACCATATCTTTTGTGCTTGATTTGTCAAACCAAGGAAAAACGTCATGGGTTGGATGGTGAATAGAAATTGAGTCATTTCATTTTGTCGATGACCAAGAATTACGCATTGTGCTTTCTGCACAACATCAAACAACAACTCATTT